AAAATTAAGGTCCCCGTGGCCCCGTAACTTGCCTCCTTGCCAGTGTTTTCAAACTTTCAAGTACTAATAATGGGGCTGATGCTGAGGATGAGAGTATTTCCATCTGGAAGCAAAAACGCTTGCCAAAGATGGAGGTAAATTATTTAAGGGCATCAGGACTGCGTTTCTATGGAGTTGATTGTCAGCAGCAAGACAGAACACCAATGTGCCAGACATCTTCAGGTTTGGAGATAAAAAGCCAAAATACAGCCCTACCCTCAGGGAGCTTCTAGTTCACAATGGCTCTCCAATCAACCTGGGTTCCTGTTTCCAATTTAAACTGGCGTACTGTGTCTCTCATTACGCAAGACAGATGGGAACTTCTTTCTTGATGTTTTGTTAAATTCCCAAATCACCTGGGTCAGGGATGTTCATCCACCGGCCCTCCAAGGAGTCACTGTCTTGGTATGAGTCCTGCTTCCATGAAATTCGACAGGGATTTTAACACAGCCCCTTCACCTCCACACAGGTTTGAGGAAGGGTCAGCTTGTTAGAATAATAAAGAAATCGACATGAACCTAGAATAGGGGCAACTTTGAGAGAAATAATGCCGGTATAATTCGGGAGGGGTGGTGTCGGGAACTGGAACCGTGGAGTCTAAAAGCTAGTCTTTCCCAAGCAACAGAAGAGGAAAGATGGAGGAAGAAGAGAATGTGTTGGTTTTTTAAGTTTCATTCATTAAAGGAAAATGAATGACAGTAATAAAAGTAAGCATATTAAAAGTCTGCAACAGTTTTTAATAGAAAGAATGATCTTTAAACTGTCTGTCTGGTAGCTTATTTAACCTGGTTTCCCTCTTAGTTAAAACAATACTTTCATTTCCCTGAACAGGGAGAAACAGATTCATCTGGGAATGCAGTTCTAACTGGGGGGGAAAGTGGCTATTCGCTTCCAATCTCTATTTTAACATTTCTTAAAATAGATATTTCTCTTTTCTTCTGAAGTGTAAACACAATATGACATTTTGATCAAAGCCTACCATATCTCTTGCCATCCTGGACTTGGTCCTCACAGTTCTCAAAGTGATCAGTTTCAATTAAAAAAATTATTTTAAAAAGTTTCTATAATAAACTGAAAAATGATAAAAACAGCAAAAGTGAAGTCATAAGTAAACATCAAACAAAATGTATTTAACATGAAACATGGGGACGCCTGGGTGGCTCAAGTGGTTAAGCGTCTGCCTTCGGCTCAGGTCATGATCCCAGGGTCCTGGCATCGAGTCCCACATCGGGCTCCTTGCTCAGTGGGGAGTCTGCTTCACCCTCTGCTTGCCGCCCCCTCCTGCTTATGCATGCACTCTCTCTCAAATAAATAAATTAAAAAAAAAAGTTTAACATGAAACACGACATGGCCTAGCTGGTTGCTAAGTAAGCATCGCATGTGCCCAGGGTTAGGGTGTAGGTCATGCTTCCAGGAGCGGGGATGGTATGTGTGTGCTAAGCACACTTAGGGAGCACGAGGGGGTCCAGGGGAGGCTGGTCCTGTGACCTAGCAAGCCTCACTCTAGACACGGCTCCGAATTATTTGCCTCTATTAGACATCTGAGCAAATGAGCCTGGGACAGAGGACCGTGGATCCTGTCACAGCTGGGCCGGCGAGCTAAAGGCAGCTGAGATTCACAGAGATCCTGTCTCCATTTCTCTCCTGTGTACGGACGGCATCTGATGATGCAGCTTCTAACGGGAAGACACAGCAAAAGGCTGCTGGCAAACAGCCTGTTGTGGAGTCGTTAGGAATGGGGATATTCCGGAGGGAAAAAGAAATTCTAAGAGACAGTCCTCTCAAGAAAAGCAAGACTCTGCGAACAGCACCTGCAGACCCCAGCTGAGGGGCGGGTTTTATGTGGGCCTATGTGTAAAGGGCCACCGGCTGCCGATTGATCGTCCCTGTTGGACCTGAGCAGAGCGACAACAAATCACCGTCGGCAACACCATCTCTGAATGCAGAGGACGGCAGTCCGTGTGCACACCTTGGGACCTTCTTATTTAGATGCCTGGGAGGCCGCACACAAGAGAAGATTGATTTATTGATTGCACGCCGCCAGATGGAACCAGCGGGTGGGAGTTTGGCACTTAAGAGCCTGACCAAACAGCCTTGGGAACTGCTCCCCTAGTCGCAGCGACTCCCCGAGTGACCCGGGGCAAGTCACTTGACTTCTTTGCTTCAGGTTCCCGCACCTGGAAAAGGGGATGGCCTTGTTCCCTGATGGCCAAGGGAGAGTGTGAGGAGGAGCTCAGGTGGCTGATGACATCAAGGTGGAGCTTGGCTCCCCCGTGGGTCACCGGCTGCCCTCCCAGCATCTCAGAGATCTGGGTCTGTGTTCCCGGCAGAGGACCTCGACAGAGGGTGAGCCACCTCTACCGCGCCGGAAGACCAGGTCCTACGGACAGGTCATCTTTGACCATGATGGGCGGCACATTCGCTCTGTCAGGAGAAAGATACGTACTTGTAAAGCGTTCCAAACATGCTGAAGAGCAAGCGCCGTACAAACCTCACGCCTGAGAAGCGATGAAGTTCAGCGTTAGATGTACTATATACCCTTGTGCTTTGGAAAGTTTACAGAACTTCAGCTGCATACTGAAGACCCCATGACCATCTCTCCACAGTCTGTGGCCTGAGGTCATGCTTACCTAGTCTATGGAAAGGTGGTATTTTTTTTTTTTTAATTTAGGAATGTATTAACTGGGATTCTCTAAGTTATCCCACAACAAAACCAAACCAAAGCAATCTTTTCAGATCCAGCTTCCAAAACCAGGGAAAGAACCAATCACTATTTTTCTTTGGAATCTAATGAAGAGGTAATTAAGGCACGAGGAGGATGAGGTCCCTCAAGCCCACTCTTAGCCGATAAGGGAGTCTTTCTTCATGAGGAATCAAATCTTGAGACTTTGCAGTTTTGGGTTTGGGTACACCTCTTCGTTTCTGTAATTAACCATACTGTGATGGTTAATTTTATGTGTCCAATTGGCTAGACCATGGCCCCCAGATATCTGGTCAAACATTCTAGATGTTTCTGTGAAGGCATTTTTTAGATGAGATTAACATTTAAGTCAGTAGAGACTTTGAGTAAAGCAGATTACCTTCCATAATGGGAGTGGGCCTCATCCGAACAGTTAAAAGACCTTAATAGAAGAAGAGCAACCCTCCCGGAAGGGGAAATTCTGCCAGCAGACTCTGCCTCTGGACTTGAACCGCAACTCTTCCCCGAGTCTCCGGCCTACCAGCCGACCCTGAAAATGGGGGACTTGCCAGCCCCCACAACCGTGTGAGCCAATTCTCTAAATAAATCTCTCTCTCCACGCATACACATCCTATTAGTTCTGTTTCTCTGGAGAACCCTAATACACATACTGTGGTAAATATTGCCACTGTTCACCAGTATTTCTGGTTTTCTCTCCTTCTGGATCCTGGAAACTTGAAACCATGGCCATTCACTTGCTTCGGCTAACAAAATGGAGGGCAAGTGACTGGTGTCTCCCCCAAGCAAAAGCATCTAAGAGCCTGGGCAGGACCGTTTCTGCTCCTCGCCTGCAGCGCCAAGCCTCGAGTCACAGCGAGATGGTGGAGACACAAGGTACTGCTTCCCCCAGCCGGAGCCTGCGGGTGACCACAAGGAGCAGCATCCCACCCACCAGACCCTGCAGATGCAGAGCATGAGTGAGAGTCGTTTGTTGTTTCAAACCTCTGAGATCTGGGGGTTGTTTATGATTGATACACCGCTTGGGAAAAAAAGTTGTCCTGGTGATTTGTACTTACTGACTGAACCCTTTTCAAGCCCCTGTCAAGAAGTGATAAATTATTGAAGTGTAGCATAAAGTGTTTTCTTTTTGCTGTGCCCATAGTAAAGCCCTGTGAAATGTTTCTGGCTACCTTTCCTGGGTCATTAAAAAATAATTGTTTCCAATCACTCTGGTCTTTAAAATAAAGCAAGACAAAATGCCACAAATCCTTCTCCAGAACCAGCACCACGCCTCTCCTCCCTCCTTCCCGGTCCTGCCCCCACCTCCCTCAACCACACCACCGGCTCCCGGAGCGAGTACTGCTGCGCTTGGGGAGGGAGGAGGAGGGAGGCCAGCACGACATTCACACAATTGTCTGGTGTTCATTCAACCTCTGTGCCCAGATATAGTTGTTGTTCCTAGAGACTGCATAAACTGCTCAGAGAAGAAAGCAGGGTTGTGGAAATCTCATTAATAAACTGTGAAAACCCTCTCAGCAGGAGTCACAGAATGCAGAGGGGCTGCCTTGAGCCAAGCAACAGGAAAGCTCAGTGCTCTGCTCCTGGACAACATCACACTCCAGCGCAGCTCGCAGCTCAGATTCGAGAAAGGCTGCCCGAAAGCCCCTCCCTGAGCAGGGCAGTGGCGGGGGGGGGGGGGGGGGGGGGGGGGGGG